GGCGCGTTGGGGGCGGCGGGGCCGCAGTGCGCGTTGGGGCTCGCGGTTCTGCGCGGCGGCGCTATACTTCGTTGTTGTTCTGTTGCTCCTGCTCCTGCTCACGCCGCAAAGCGCCGTCAGCCAAGCAGCACCGCGGCAGGTCAACGCGAAGGTATTGGTGTTGAAACTAACCAACCTCCCAATTGCCTCAGAAGTTTCTGGATGCAATTGAACTTGGGCTGATGGGGGCGCTCTGGTCGCGCAACTTCACTGCTGCAGATGACGTTCATATAGAGGTCATCAGTAAAGTCGCCACAATGGAAACGAGTGGGGCAGCCGTCGACAAAGCGGTGAAAGCAGACAAAGACATCCTTCTTCTTGCCGGTGTCATCGGCGATACAGCCTTCCTGCACTCTCTGCCCGCAGCTAAGCAAAACAGCCTCGTCTCTTTTGCTCCGTTTACTGGGTCCACTTTGGTGCGTGGGTGGAACCCCAACGTGTACTTTGTGCGCGCTGATCCTGCGACAGAGCTGCTGGCACTTCTCCGCTACGCCGTGGCTGAGCTGCGGGTGCTTCGGCTGGGCTTCATGTACCTGCAGGGTGTCTCCTTTGGCGATCGCGAGTACGAGCAGGCACAAAGTGTGATGTCGGCGATGGGCTACGCGCTGAGCGGCGTCTTCACCGTGAAGAGAGCTGCGCAAGGTGGCGCCGACAACAGGGAGTTTGACGAGGCGTGGGATCAGTTTGCCGCGACTCGGCCGCAGGCTGTGATTGTGTTTGGCTCGCCTTATCCGGAAACCAGGAAATTCATTGAGAAGATGCTGACGGACAGGAGCACCGCTGGCGCGTACTTGCTGGCTCCTTCTGCGGTGCAGGACGCCGTTTTGGGGGTGTGGCGTGCTGTCGTGGCTGGCGGTGTCAAGTTTGTGCCCGGGCAGGTGGTCGCGACGGCGACGAACCCGCTGGCGAAGGACACAAGGTACAACGCCATCCGGCGCTTCCAGGAGGTGATGAAGAAATACCTGGCGAACAGGACGGACATAAAGTCTGGTGCAGGCCAGGGATTTCCCAACGACGACAATGCAGGGGAATTGATGGTTGCTGCGTGGATTGCCGGCGAGGTGCTCGCACAGGCGCTGGGTAATCGCGAATGGGTGAAGGACCGTAACTCGTTCAAGGCGTCCATCTTCAACCAACGCCGGTATTTAATCGACGACCTTGTGATTGGCGACTACGGTGGGGATTGCAGTGCAGTTGCGGTTTCACAGGGCGCCACCTGCCGCTGCAACCAGGGCGGCCACACGGTGTACATGAAGCGGTTCGTGGAGGGCTACCGTGCAGAGCTGCAGACCGATGACACATTCACAGCTGGGCAGCGCCGCTGCGGTGCCAACGGTACACTGTTGTATGCAACTTTGGATGGAGTGCTTGCCGTCATGCAGGATAATGAATGTGTCCAATTGGCTGTTAGCAGTATGTTGTGTGGTGCGGAAGCCGTTATTGTTTCGCAGAAGCATGATGCGCCGGGTATGGTGACGTTCCGTGTGCTAAATACATCCATAGCTGGGGCACATGACGCTCTAGTGGCAGAGCACAATGAGCGTCGGGTCCATTTTGTGGGCGGCGTTGCGACGGAGGCGATGCTGGACGTGGAGGGTGTGGCCTTCATTGACCCGCTGCAGC